CTTAATAAGATTTAGGGAATATTTCTTATTCTTTGTATTGCTGTGTATATTGTTATTGTTTCATATATTAGGCCATACATTTACCTTATAAAAACGACTAGGTATAGCTAATGTAAAGCATACGAAACGCAGGTAAAAAAATACCTATGAATTAGGTGTTTTTGACCGTCAAAAGCGTTTTATGCAATGTATATTGAGTTGTAATCATTAATGACATAAAGGTAATATAAACAAAATATACGCGATCTAAATTTTTTAACTGTTTGCCTCTTAGCCTACACTCGTTCCCCGGTGGCCTGTTTTTTAACAATGTGACTTGTAAGTGACTTTGCGCGGACGCAGTGAGGTGGTCCTATATAGCTAAAGGAAAAATGCCAATTATATACTTTACGCTCCGATAGCGCGAATTAAGATCTCATACGCTAATATATAATTTGTTTGAACACGATATTAAAGTTTTTTGCCATGCGTGGTATATGTTAGTAGTATTATTAATATTGATTTAGATTTTATTTGTTGATGATTTTTATATGAATAATATCAAAAGTCAGAAAAACCGTTACAATGATAGAAAAGTTTTGAATTAAGAATTCTTTATCTATTTGAATGGTATTTCTAATTTTTGTTTTTGATTTAGAATTTTATATAACGTATGTATATACATGTAATGGGCGAAATTCATTGTCTAATTCTGTGTCGGGCATCTTTGATTGCACGTAGTACTGTACACGTACATACTATACATCACGTCTGTTAACTGACCTACCATGGCGTCATCTCCGCGATTTATCATGTGAAGTTCATTGAAAAGTTTACCGATTGGAAGTTGTCTGTCTTATTTTGTATTGCATAGGATGATAAGTATGACAAAAATGGGATGGTTATTTACTTTTTGTATTTGGAATATTAAAAAAATAATGGATTTAATATTCTATTATTATTAGGTACTACGTATGTACTTGTAAACGTTTTATTTTACCGTCGCTTTTATATCGTATATTGTCAATAAAGTTTTATATTATGTGTACGCTTATCATTGTGAAACAATATTTCTTGACTTCATAAATACATTAAAAGTGAAAGACGATATTCTCTTCATACTGTCAACCTTTGTTTACCCACGATTGGAGAATATAATATGAAGATATTGTCCTTATGAAAGACTCCGAGCATATTGCAGATTCCTTAGACTTTGAGCTTGTGAAGCTTATACAAATAAATACGCCATGGTTTATGTAGTAGTTCCTGATATTTATTGTTATTAACTCGAGCATTTGTGTTTTGAAATAACTATGAACATTGGTGATCAAACGACGACATTAATAAAATGTTTTTTCCATGCCATAGATGCGTTGGGTCACGTGGCATATTTAAAATTCAAAATAATTGTTTACAGTCCGATTAGACGCTTTGCGCCCAGTGTTGCCACCTAAAGCGGTCAATTCGCAGTGCATTGCACTCTGTTACAAATAACTTAAAGTTGCACCCTACCGATCTTTTTGTATTATTTTCAACAGTGAACGCATTCATAACATTACACGATATATTTCAATTAAATCCAATCTAAATGTATAAATTAAAAATTTGGTTTTAGATAGAAAAAAAACTACACAGGCGGGACTTGAACAAAACGCTTGACGGAACGCTGTGGATGCCGGTTTGATTTATATAATATCATGTGCAATAACATGTGAAAATTTTTAAAGTTTTTAAACCATGATGTAGATACTCAATCTGGCTCAGATGTGATATAAAGGAATATGAAATATGAACAAGAGATTTTTATGCTTTATTGCTTGTGTGTTCCGGGTGACCCCTGCGACCTGGCGACGACCTATCGCAAATTAAAATAACGCTGCTCATTCACGATCGCGACATACTACATAACCTTGAACTAGTTAACTGGGCGGGAATAAATCAAAAGAGCCAGACATGGCAACATCGAGTGGAGAAAAAACGCGCCAATTCGCCGGATCGCTTAGCCAGACGTATCATTATCTTATTATTCTAATACGCTAGTTTCGATACTCGCTCGTTCATTTTTGATCTGTGTACGGTATTTTTATTTGTTTCGCAGATATGGTATAAATTAACAATCTGTGCAACTGTCAAAACATGACAAACAAATGATAGGTTCACAACGATTTGAAATAAATGAATTGCAAAATTTGAATTTAGAACTGACCTTTCAAAAATTTTAGTGTTAACACAGATTAAAACATAGTACGAATACCTAGCGAATAGGCGAAACAAACTACGGTTATTCTATATGTGGGTGGAGGTTCGTGACCGGGTGAAAGTAAGATATTTTCACCGCCGAGTGGTTTAAAAAAAAATTATGAACAAAGAGTCTGACAAAATGGAATAGGATATTTGATATCAGGTATAGCTCATATGTATGACGTAAGTGCAAGTGGATTTAACAGACTTGGGTGGTATATTTTGTAAGAGAATGATTTTGTTCCCTTGCGTCATTGCATATGCAACGTGGGTCACACGCGAGGGTCTTAATGACCTCAAATCGTAATCATCAGGTTGATTCACTAGCAAAAAATATCGATATTAATCTTAATTCAGGGTTGCCAAATAACATTTTTTAGATGAGATTAGGCTTGGCGAAAAAGAAATATATAATAAGGTTTTTTGGTGATTTGATGTTAAATTATAATTGAGGCGTGCTCTGCTTAATATTGTTCTAACTTAATTAAACTATGTTTAACTTTAAATCACTTTTAATATACAAAACTTCATTGAAAAATAACGTAAATATTTCTTCCAAAAGTTTAGATTGTGAAATTCCTTTTTCCCCTGTGGGACATGGCACAAGATATTTGCGTATACACTAACCGATTTTACAGGCAAGAACTTGATCAGACGTCTGTGCTAATTCTGGTCGAAACAATTTATTATTACTCTAGGATTCGAACCTAACACCTTAACGCAATGCTGGTCAACGTTTAATTGAGCTACAAAGGTGAATAATATATGATACTCCTAAAAGTTAATTCGATTCTGGCTATAGGAAACACGCTAATTCTTATACTACCACATTAAGATTGATTGTACCTAGGTAATTATTTGTATAGCTTAATGACAGGTTCTATGATTGGTGAGTTAGGTATATAATTATGAATCGTTGACTGAAAAAACCGCCAAAAGCTAATCTGTAAGCAATTAACCTATCAGTTTCGAAGGTCAGAACAAATAGGTTTCCTATAACTAATTACTAAACTCTAACATATGCAAAGGTCTAGTGGTTAGTACAATCGAATGAACATCGTGTATTAAGAATTTTTCTAACTCAGGCACAGACTATATTTGTAAACTAAGCAGCATTATTACCTTCTCTTCTAAAAGAGAGGTTCGTAGTTAGAAACCATTTATTTTTAGTTTTATTTGCTGCGGCTATAAAATCATTTCAAGAGTATTATAATGTCTTAACAAAAGCGATGTTTTCTTTGAATTGTTGTCATAACCACGACGCGTATACAACAACTAAGTAGTACAACACAAAACCACGTACTATAAATAATATGAAATAAAATAAAAGTGGAAAAATATACGTATTAAGGAAAGTTACCATCGCCTGATTAAGAATGAATACGTTATTTTGAGGATATTATCTCCATTCATTCCCGAAATTACCCTCGTACAATAATGTCGTGTTTCCTTTACAATTTAAAAATTGCGTCTATATTGAAAGATGTTTACAATCGGAGGCTGTATATTACCTCAATGACATACAACCTCAGAAACAATTTTGCAGAAGAGAAAGAGGATTTGAAAAAATATATCTATATAAAAATGTTTGTCTATAGTTGATATATGTTGTAATAAAGCTTTACAAATGGCAATGTGGTATTACAGAAAAAGAAAAAAAAGGAATTATGCCCCCGTATCAGAATAGACAAACCTGATGTGCTCCCACACATCTACGGCTTCCCTAGTACTGCGGTAACCAGCATAGACCGCTTCATTTGATACCTCTTCTCCTGTATACGATCTTGGTACTTGAACGCATTATTTGTAGGGCTTTTTCTATTCGAATTTTGAATTATGTTTTTCAAAACCACAGACCATCAAACAATCACAGAATGAACAGGGTCGATCTGCATTACGTGCATCCGGCGCGCTTTCGTCCGGCCGCGGTGCATAAGCACTGTCCGCCGGATATCTTGCGGTCACCACTCGCACGCTATTTCTCAACTCAAACTTTTCCTTCGATAAATACAAAAGGTCGTCTCCGTGGGTCAGTGGTCGCCTAGAATTACATTAAAAACTGGGTTCAAACCCTTGGTAGGCAGGGAAACATTGTTTCGGTCAGGTAGGAAGTACGAGTAGAAGGCTGATTTTGATCAAACAGGAACAGGTAAAAAGACTAGACATAATTTCACTTATCCATACTCGTATTTATCTCTTTAATATGTTACTTTGGCATACAAAATGTCGTGTTCCTAGCCTAAAATATTCTAAGCTGATTAGTGATTATATTAAAAGCAGACTAAGCGCTACTGACCTCGAAACAGATGAACGAACGAAAACAATACACGTCTGAACTGTCGAGACCCACCACTGCACCTCATTAATCACCTCTCCGTGATATTTTAATAACGTTTCGTGAATAATTAGTCATCGTAATTATTATCCGCTACCAAAATCTTGACCCACCCAAATGATGACTTTCCTACTCACTTACACCAGAACTGCTCTCATTATATGTACCATATTCTACATAATAAGTTGCGATTCGTGAAAAAGTTGTGTGACTAATAAATAGTTATTGTTATTAATAATTAAACTGAAAAATCGACGGTTAAAACTAACTCTTAGGCTCTATTGTGATTCAACTCGCATTGTAGCTCAAAGAAACGCGATCCCCTCGCTCCCGTTGGGGCCCTAACGACCTCGAATTAAAACCCAAGAAAGGGCAAGAAAGGAGTCGCGCAACTGGATTTTCGACCCCGATGTCCTTCGCTCGTTTCTACCTTTTACAAGTCTCACTAGGTTTTGTAACGGTATAGCGTCACATTCGCCCCTGTCATTTCGACTAATAACCGCCGAAGTTCACGATTCGGGTGTGTGTGACCGCTTTTTACCTTCGTCGCCGACGTCTGGGAATCCGCGACGGAGAGCGAGCGGGATTCCGTTTTGCATTCCGCGGGTGTATTCTTGTGCCTTCGCCGCTTCCAAATCGAAAATTTGCACAGAACCGATCGGATCGGTTTAGCATATAGAAAATGTATGTCGCAATGCTTAGCAGTACGATCCGGCGGCGAGCTTTGTTTTATATCTGTTATGGGCGTCGCGTCGTCTCCGGCGAAGTCGGTACCGCGTCGATCGCTCAAAGCGAATGACCTACATTCACAACAATAAACCACCCCGGCAAAATTCGTCTTACTCATTCCATCTTGCGTTAACTCTTGGTTTTTTAGCAACATTGAACCCGTTGCATTCCTCGCTTTACGATCATCTCGGCTGACCGACGGCTGACAGAGCGATCGTAAAAGATCAAATTTTATTTCTTATTGTTCACCTTTCGCGAAATCTAATTGAAGTCGGGGCTTTACGCGTTTTTAATTTTACTGCTGCACACCCTGAGTTAAATGTGCTCGTGGTAATGACAACTAGTGTGAATTTGATCATTGCTTTTGTTTTACTTAAGGCTCTTACGGTGGGTTTCGAGATGATTATAAACATGAAACAAAGAAATACATTTTAAGTCAAGTAAGTTTTAACTATTATCTAGAAATTAAAGCAACGAACTCGATATAACTTGGTCGCACCATAGTTAACTAAACTTAGGTGGTTCATGTATTTAACAGTCAATATAATGATTAGAGATTCAATTGCCTAGCTAATATAATAAATCAATTGCTTCTTGGTAAAAGTGTTAGTTAAAAAATGGTCTCTTCAAAAAGCAAAATGTAATATTAAATGTCGATTGAATTATTTCGACTTCGACGTAAACCAATAATCAGAAGGCTTTATAGCAATATAATAAGTCGCTCTGGTCTACACAAATGAGGATCGCGTGGTATTTTATTCGTTTAACTTGAAACTCGTTTGGAGGTTGTCAACTTTACCGTGCATGTGGTATTGCTACTCTTATCATCAATTTGTTAAGAATCGATATTAATTGGCCTTAATTGGGTTTCATTTGTAATTCAAGTTTTTAATTTATTCTGGCGTATAGGACTTAAAATTGTTCACATCGAGGATATTACATTGATAAATTGTTTTTGACGTTTACCGATTAATTGTCCTAACTCGCGAATTGTTGATCGAATCTGCGTGCTTCGACAAAATGTTGTCTACAATTTTATCGCCGTACACTAAAATGGTCGTAATTGTTTCTCTTTACGGTAAAATGTGATTTTGATGCAATTCTGTAGTTTTCGCGAGTATTAAACTATTAAATAAAACTTTTTAACCGCGATTTCTACGCGAAATAATGATCATATATAAGGCCGTGAAAGCCTTACACAATTCATTTTGCGAAAGAATGACTTATTATTTCGAAATAACTTTTGTCGATATCCCATTTCGGATCATCACTAACACGTTGGTCTAATCTCACAATGAGGATATGTCGCAGCGCGCATGCTTGCCCGCTTTGTGCTCAACGTGTGATAGGATATATGCGCGACAAATAATCCGAATAGAATGTTCGAGCGTTAGGCCTACAATTTAATGTTGACCCGGGCTTATATCGTGAGTCACTTTGTATTCGCCACGCGCGGTTCTGCGTCACATGCCTATCGGAAACGTTAACTGCTGCGACGGGTACAAACGACTTAAATCATTCATCATACACAGTTTTGCATGAAATACCTTGAAAGTTCATGTTTTCCTGTTCACACGGAAAATGTTTCAGATTTTTATAAAATCATGCTGAAATGTTAGGGCTTAAAGTTTCTAGGTTCGTCTGAAATTCTATTCGCCTGTTCTCGCATCCGCTGTTTGCGCGTCGCTCAAAATATTAAGTAGCTTAGCGAATTCGGTGAACTAGTGTTTGGTATTAGGACTATTATTTACTCTGTTGGATTACGTTCATATAAAGTTTTTGGACAAAATTAAAAAACTTAAATTTAATTTACTGCTTTCTTCAAAAACGTTTAGGTATTTCCTTATCTGTCTATATATCACAGCATCAAATTAGAATTCCTTCGTTAAAAACCAACATACACTCTCAAGAACAATCGCACGTCAATTTATAAGAAAATGCACTGTTTATGCAACAAACAAGATGGCATTTGCAATCGTTGTAAACAAAATTTTTGCGTATTTCGAATGTATTTATAACAAAGGTTATACCCAACAGGATTTTTTTTTTACGACGCCATTAAAATGTTATATTAATAACATTTATAGAAATATACTAATGCCCTGTTTCTTTTCATTTCAGGTAAATATCGAAGACTATTTAAAAAGGTATTAATAATAGTATTCATTTCGACTTGACTTTCCTCAATGGCTGACATGTATCGATTGGTTATTAATGATTATCGATAGAAACGATCAATTAAATAATCGAGTCGAGTGTCGATGATGGTGTAATTGCGTTGAAATTAACTGACCTATGTCACGCGAAGCACTTTCTTCTAAAGTCAAAATGTAACCGTAACTATGAGGCGGGCATCGTTTCCGGCGCCTGTGACGTCACACCCGTCTCGCCGGTCGCCGCCCCTACCACGTAACCTTGGCGCAGATGCGCTCATGATCGCACAACGCTTTCGATTTCATAGCTCTATAGGATTCAAGCTTTTGCTTGTCTCACTGTCGTTACTCGAATAGATTGAAAATCGGCCGACTTCATCCGCTGAAAATCCGTGGATTGCGTGCCTCATAACCGCCGACATTTTCGAACGGATGCAGAAATTATACAAATCGAATACCACTTATAAATCGAAATAAGAGCAAAATCTCTGGTAATTTTTCACACGATACACAAGAGCATAGTTGCCCTAAGCGCGCAGTGTCGAGGTGATCGAACTCGCAGCCTGTAATTTTGGACCGCAAAAGGAGCAAAACGTATCGAGATCGGTGATTAAAAACCTTTGTCGGGTCTACTAATATTTATATTTTCGCAATGCGCCCGACATCTAATTGGTCGCTCATATATTTGAAGTGGAAACGAGCGGCGGACGGCGCCGTGACCACCGACGCTTCATTAGTTTTCCTGGTAGTGGAACCATAAACCACTCGAATTTTTTATGTGCGCTCGTTTATGTCAAAACTATCCGACCGCGCCGCCGACAAAGAAGAATGCTGAAACTCCCATCGAATCTTCTAGACGCAAAAGTCTAAAAGATTCGATGGGTTGTCTAGTCATTGTTTCATTGGCATTCGCTAAAATACTCGATAAATTATCGCAGGTGGTAGGAGCAACTAGTTTCAACTGCCCGTTGGTACTCTCGATCGGCCCAAGGTCTGGGATATTGAACCTGGCCGGTGCAACAGCACGACAAGGTCCGCCGGGAAAGAGACGGCTGCACTATCACTCATTGTTATGGGGAAAATGTCTCGACCACACGCGCACCACTACGACCCATTCTTTTCGACCGAACCTGCGTCTTCTAATTCATTGTGTACGCTGTCATTTGTTTGCCGAGCGACCTCAGTGCGCACTTCCTCAAAACTGGGTCCGAGGAAACGGGAAGGGAAACGGGAATGCGTCGCCGGACAGCAGAGCGACAGAGACAGATATACAGAAGCAAGTGCGCCGCAGACGAGAGTGCATTGCGCTGACGCATCGCGATCGTCTGCGTGCATTCGTCTTTTTTGTTGACGCTGCCCCCGCAGCTTTCGTACAAAGTCAGTGACAAAGGTTTCAGGCGTTATTCACTATTTATATCGATAACGAACAATTAAATTCGCTGTCCCGACCGGTCCGACTATTCGGCATTTATGCGTTCCCACGAGGTTGATGTTATTTTCATTGCGAGTGGCCTTCGGAACGGGGTGCCGGCGAGCCGACGGGTCCACTGACCCACTGCCTGTGACCGGAATCCCGACGCGAATGCTTTTCGCAGTGTCAGCGTCTGTACGCTCGATTCAGTCGGTATCGTTCGCGGGTAACGCCGATCGAGCAGGAAGTGTCGCAATATTTATTTAGACTCGATACGAAGGTTAACGTCTTGAGCGTTCATTGGCATAATTAAAAATAAATATCGCTTTCGGAATGTATCCGATGAGTCTCGCCCTCCCGCTGAGAGCGCGTGAACTTTTTATCATTTGGATTCATCTCGGCGGATTCTAGGCGCAGTACCTATTGAGTAATTACGAGCGTTTATCACATCTGGTGTCGAGAAGTGACGTATACATTACGCTTCATTTACCACGTGTGGTGTTATCGCGGTTCTAATATGTAGTGTTGTGGTTCTCACGAGCGACGCCAGCGCGAGTGGAGTACGTTCACACCTATAGGCCTCGGACCCGCACGAACGCTTCGCGCTGCTTATTTGTGTTCGGCAAACATTCCTGAAGATAAGCCATGAACGTCGCGTTTGTGCTTCCCACATCTGCTCCGACCTTGGCTCCTTCAGCCCGTTGTGTAACCGTCTTATCAGTCACGCTCCCCTGGTGTCTCGCTCACCGAATCATACCAACTTTTCCGGTCCCGATAACTTTATCGTTCTTATAAAATAACGTGCTTTTACAATCTATTTAATGAAATGTATGCTCTATTTATCCTGATAGTGAAAAATACGGTTTTACACTAAATGCATGGCCCGTTTGCTACTTACAAACCTCTTACGTAATTTAGAATTAATAATTAATATAAAAAACAAACATATCAATACTTAGTAGTTTACTTTAAAACACAATATTTATTTCGCACAAGTATTTAAGTATTGTTGTCCGAGACGAAACCGAAAGTGTCCCCGATTTATACCTAATATAAATCGTCAAAACAACAAGTTTAGTGTCTGCGACATCGACTGAGACAGAACAGGTTACGAGCGTGGCATAAAAAGTGAAAAAGTTGTCTATGCCGGGAGCGCAGTCGGGGAGTTTTGTTGACATTCATCGGTCATGACGTATGGGGTTAGAAGGCGTTTATTGAGCGTTTATTATTCCGGCTATAAATTAAGCTGTGCTCGTTAATCGGCCCTTTAATCCGTCTGGGCGTTGACTCCACGTTCCACCGACGTCGACTCATTCACAGAATAAACGCATATTTTCCGGGATGCTTGTACCGAAGTAGAAAAAGCTACAATGGTGCCCGATGACCGGTCCCCGAGTCATCGCTGTGGAATGCTGCATCTCGCAGCCTCCCTAACTCGTACCTATTACTAGATGGAATATCGGGCCGGTGGTTCCGCAACACTTTATTATTCGAATAGATATCGACGTGAGATAATCTGGACGGTTCGTTTTTTGTGCGTTATTGTTCGCATCGAATGATACACTGGTTGAATATTTAGCGATATCCGCTGACTTCACCGCTTATAAAAAATGGCGAATAATTAGTCAATAAAAATTCCGCCGATTATATACAGAGTTGTTACACGGGTGTTACGTAAGTGGAGTAAACGACCTAAGAGTTGGTGGTCCGAAGGTCTCTAAACACGTGGTGCAAGCATGGGCCTCCGCTGGCTGTTAGCGTTAACGTCGGTAACGTTTAATTGTACGCGATTTAGCAACTGATAAAAAAATATAATTCAGACATTAGTGACTTCCGATTTATAACAAACTAGATAGTTTCGAGTACTCAAAACATATCTGTCCGCTATGTTACGAGCCGTAAAATCGTCGAAAGGAGCTTATCGAGATTTTGAAAGTGAATCAAGACCATTGTGTTACGATTTCGTTTAATGGTATTTCGGGCGGATAGTCAGCGAGCGATGTACGCCGCCCTTGACCGAGGCGACGCGACGGCCGTGGCGAGTAAACAAATTGAATGAAACGCGTAGCGTATGTGTACATTCATGTGTGTGCAGTTAACGCACGATAATTCAAGCACTCGTGTTAAATACTGTGTCCGCGGATGACGCATCGCGCAACGAACATTGATAATTTAATCTGCTTGAGAGAAGTTGATCTGTCTAATTACTTAGAATTTCAAACAATATGCAACGTCGGTTGAAAAGACGTCGCGATAATTTTATGCAACATCGAGTTTTTATGGTTTGTAACTGCATTATCAAATGTATGACGTAACTGACACAGTACCTTTAATTTATTTAACTAGTTAACAGCATTTTTTTAATAAGTAACGACTATCGTTTTGGTATATCTAGAATGTTAAACATTACGCGAGTAGTACAAAAGTTTAATAGTAGAATAGTAATTCAAGAAAACATGTTTGAAACACGAAATATATTAGTTAAACTTATTTTTTATTTATTTTAACTACTACCCGCCATTTCGGATGCTATCCACGAATGCTGCAAATGATAAATGTTAATTAATTGATAACTAAATATAAACGCAAATAAGTTTATCGTTTTAGAAGACAGTGTGTCCGCGCGGAAACGAAGCCCGTCACGGCTGGCGAGGCGCCCCTCAAGACATACTGGTACCACTCTACCACGGGGCAAACATTGTTCCATCTCATTACAACCCATTTCCTCCCGTCTGCCTTCGCCCTTTAGATATCACGCCTTTAAATGGGGATCTTGGCGATAATCATGTATCGAGTCTTAGTAATTATCTTGTATGCGCCCTAAATTAGGCCATATAAAATCAATACGCGTCTATACAAGGGAGATAATATTAGTTGTACATTAAAGATACATACTTTAATTTGGTTTTCCCTTACTTCTCCCAAAATAGGATAGTTTTCAAGGCCATATTTTAGTAAATATAGATAAACTACTAAAAAACACTATTGCCTTGTTCATTTAAAAAAACGAAATCCTCACAATAGTAGCATATGTTAACGCCCTAGATCTTAAGTCTTATCAAGTCTAGATCTAGATATACAATCTGTCATAGGGCACATAGAGTGAATGATTTGTAATTGTTACGTTATTTATATTCTGCGGCTAGATAAGGAAACTAATTTGCGAAGCCAAGTGGGGTCGATAACCGGCCGTGCGTCTGATCGCCGAAGGTCAAGGCTTACCACCACATCCTAGTCGGACGAAAGAAAAAGTGACATACCAAACCTGACTAGAACCCGAGGACAAATAAAAATGAAAGCATGTTTACTTTCATTTAAAACACTTACTATTCACTACTAACTAACTGTTCGAAGGCCAAAAGCATTTTGATATTAGAAAAATAGCTTAAAATCATTTCCGTTGCATAATAGTTAAAACACATTTCACGTTAAACTTTTCGGTCAGGTCGGGCACTAAAGTCTTGCCCCATGCCCCACATAGGAACATGATTTTTCGTCAACTCATGATTTATAGTGGGTTTTATATGTTCTGCATAATCTAGATTAGTTCTAGGTGTAGGTCATTCTTACGGTCAGGGACCTCATTTGATTACTTGATCGAATCACTGGTTGGGGTATTTGCTTTAATTTATTGTCAATCAATCAATCATAGCTGACAACGGGTGTTAAATTTATGATTTATATATAACAAGAGATACTGGGCCCTGACATTTATAACATTGCCTACCATCTTTAAATAAATAAGAAGATACTGAATCGATCAATAAAAAATGCAAAGTAATTGAGGCCGCTAGAGGCAGAGTGGCCTAATAACAAAAAACTTGATTTTCAATAAGGAGGGAAAAAATGCGCAATTAACCTAGGCGAAAATGAATTTATACAATAGTATAAATTCATTTTCGCCTAGGTTACAAATACAAATAATAATTTGTGTAAGGATTATTGTAACAATTTTCATTGTGCTCTTGTCGATTAATATTTTAAAACTATCCCTTATTAGGTTCCTCTGGCACTAGCGGTTTTATTTGTCCTTTACAATTGTATTTTCAAAGTAAAAAGAGGATAGGCCAAAATGGTTACCAGTGGAAGCGTAAGCCTATTATTGAATTATATTAGGATTCCTAGGGTTGGTAGTATTTATAGTAGAAATGGAATTGTATGACTTCAGATTCGACTTGACCTTCGTAATATCGACAATTTCGGAATATTCCGTGAGGCTCATCGAAATTCTAGATTTCAACTCGATACTATAACAACCTCGAACTCTAAAAGGTATATTAATAACAAATAAAGTCTAATAAGGGTCTGATAAATAACGTTTTATGTTTCTGAGAATCTCCTCTCTAAAGTGACGTCACATATTTTCAATTTAATTTTGAAATTTTCTCACACTAAAATGTGAACTAGTTAAGAATGTAGGACTCTATCCACGAATTAATAATTGCTTCGGAAAACACTTAACCACTAATAGACATTTCGAACACAATAATTTATTATCTCACCGCGATTGAAACCCCGGTTCTTCTATTTAAATAATGTTAGACAACGCATTTAACCATACAGCTACAGAGATGAAACCATCTATAACTTGTTCTTATTTAAAATTGACCTCTGTGAAAGTTTTTTCTAAAATTTTCAACGATCTTAAACTCTATTATATTTAGGTTGTATAGTTTTTTGCGGAGCGCGCTTTGTCTGGCGAAACTGTATCGCATTAAGCCTTAATTAAAATGTTTGCAATCGGATACCGTGCGGGCCCCGTCGTGATCGCTATCAATTTTGCTTAATGGTGCATTCTCCGTTGATTTTTGATACTAAACTCTAAACCAGCATCGCCAAGGTCAGATCACTTTGACCTACAGAGTTCTCAGTATATCTTTAAACTTTATTTCTTCATTATCACACACTTACACACCTGCGACTACTTTTAGTGCCACTTCACTTTCGATTTCACAAAAAAAAACCAAGCATTTT